GGGGGCGGGGGCGCAGCCTCCATTCGCAGGGTTTTGGGAATCCCCCAGCCCAGGCCTGACGCCTTTTCGAGAGGCTTCAGCCCTGGCCCGGGGGGGGGGGGGGGGGGGGGCCGCAAGCCGGCAATTGGTGTGAACTACAGAGGAAACACCTTTTCTGACTGCTCATTGGCTAAGCTCCCCATATGCCACTGGTAATATTCTTAGTAACTTGGGTAATAAGAATCCAAAAAGGTGATCTAGGGTTTTTCACCACACTCCTGGTGAAAAAAATCGAAGGTCCACTGCTGGAGGGCTAAGAAATGTCATATCCTGCCCTAGCCAGTTTGGCTCAGTGGATAATGCCTTGGCCTGCCGATGGCAGGGTCTGAGTTCAATTCTGACCAAGGGCATGTACCTAGGTTGCAGGCTCCTTCCTGGCCGGGGCCCAGGTCAGGGCTCATGCAGGAGGCAACCAATCAAAGTGTTCCTCTCACTTTGATGTTTCTCTCTGTCTTTCCCTTTCTCTTCCACATTCCCTAAAAATCAATGGAAACATATTCTCAGGTGAGGATTAAAAAAAAATAAAGAAATTATTATTATATGAAAGACACATCTTGAAAATGCCTAAAGAAAGTTGTCATTTTTTTCCATGGTGAAGAGACTGGAGTCCGTGTTGATGAAAAAACCTTGCTGGCTGCGGTGACTGGCAGTGGCTGCAGCAGCAATGGGGCTGGTGCCTTCCCCTGATCAGCCCAGTCACCTCCCACAAAGGGAGGCCAGACTGCGGCTTAGGCCCGCTCCCCAAGGGGAGCAGGGAACGGGCCTAAGCCGTCACTAGGACATCCCCTGAGGGCTCCCAGTATGTGAGAGGGGGCAGGCTGGGCTGAGGGACACCTCCCCCCACCCAGTGCACAAATTTCGTGCACCAGGCCCCTAGTATATATATAAAAGGCTAATATGCAAAGTGTCCCCTTGGGAGTTCGACCGGGAGAATGGGAATTTGTGTGCTTGCTATGATGTGCACTGACCACCAGGGGGTGGCGAGGAACATGGTGGGTGACCAGTGGCGGCAGCGGGGTGCTGAGGGAGTGAGGGAAGGAGGAGACAGGGAGGCGGGGAACCTGATGGTCTCTGATCGCAGGCCAGGCCTAGGGACCCTACCAGTGCACGAATTTCATGCACAGGGCCTCTAGTAGTCATATAAACTGAGTTATTGGTATAAAAATGGCATTTCAAAACATGGTACTAAGTGAAGCTATCCATAGGATAGTGAGATCCCAAGATTTTTATACCCCTTTTCTATGAAAAAAGGTAGAAAACAAAACAAAATTTTAGAAAACAAAAGAAAAGATGTTCTTCACAAACCAAAAAGTTTTTTATAATAGCTTTATTGAGATATAATTCACATACCATACAATTTACTCATTTAAAGTGAACAATTCATTGGTTTTTAATATATTCACAGAGGTTTGCAACCATCATCACAATTTTAGAACATTTTCATGACCTCCAAAACAAACCTGTTACCTATTACCAATCACTTCCCATTTCTCTCTAACCCCCTCAACCCCAGGCAACTATCAATGTATATTCCTCTATCTTTGGATTTGCCTATTCCTGACATTTCATATATAAATAGAATCATACCCGCTGTGGACCTCTATGACTGGCTTCTTTCACTTAGCGGAGTGTTTTCAGTGTTCATTGTGTTGTAGCAGATATCAGTACTTCATTCCACTTTATTGTTGAAAAACATTACATTGTATGGATATGCCATATTTTGTTATCTCTTCATCAATTTATGGACAGTTGGGTGGTTTCCCACTTCTGACTATTATAAATAATGTTGCCATGAACATTCATGTGTAAGTATTTGTGTGAAAATATGTTTTCACTTGAGATGAATCTTCAATTGGTCTTTATCTTATCTTTGTATGTACTTGAGAAAAGCTAACACCAGTTTATTTGTTAACTGTGTAAAAGTAGGTCATATTTGTCCCCACTCTGAATGTGGGTAGGAAATGGTTTGGAGAAAAAAAACCACACTGCTTGTTGTGAAATCTACTTATAAATTAATGATTTGGGGGCTATTTCAACTATTACATGATAGATAACTTCACCCTATAGACCAGTGGTTCTCAACCTGTGGGTCGCCAACCTGTGGTTCATGACCCCTTTGGGGGTCGAACGACCCTTTCACAGGGGTCGCCTAAGACCATCGGAAAACACATATATAATTACATATTGTTTTTGTGATTAATCACTATGCTTTAATTATGTTCAATTTGTAACAATGAAAATACATCCTGCATATCAGATATTTACATTACAATTCATAACAGTAGCAAAATTACAGTTATGAAGTAGCAATGAAAATAATTTTATGGTTGGGGGTCACCACAACATGAGGAACTGTATTAAAGGGTCGCGGCATTAGGAAGGTTGAGAACCCTGCTATAGACTAAGCAAAAAAGGAAATTTAGGTCTTAGCTTTGCCTCTTTTTCTTGGGCAAATGATTCTCCCTGAGCCTCATACTTTTATATGTAAACTAGAGGCCTGATGCACGAAATTTGTGCAAGAGTAGGCCTTCCTTCCCCCGGCTGCTGGCACCGGCTTCCTCTGGCACCCGGGATCCAGGCTTCCCTCGAAGCCCCAGCTTCGTCCAGAAGGTCGTCTGGAAGGTCATCCAGAAGGACATCTGGTCTAGTTAGCATATGACGCTTTTATATTATAGATGTGAGTACCCTACTTCTTATATAACATACATCACACTTTATGTTTGTGTTGCTCTTCTGGTATGTTCCATAAACAAATAAAAAACAAAACAAAAAATAAAACTACAAGTATCTCCTCCTCAAACTCTTATAAATATGAGGATAAAATAAAAGCATAGTTTTTTTAAAATTAAATTTGTTGGGGGTGACATTGATTAATAAAACATAGTTTTTAATAAAATAGTTTTAAATTTTCTGTAAGAGGTGCTTCATGAATTCAAAGTAATAGTATTTTAGACATCCTCAACTTGAATTAATTAAACTAGAAATGAATAAAATGTAGGGGGGAAAGTGACTGATATAGAGAACAGTGGATCATTGAATTTTTTTATTGTGGTAAAATACATGTTTTAACCATTTTGTGGTAGTTTTGCGGCATTGAGTACATTCACATTGTTGTGCAATTATCATTACTACCCATCTCCAGAACTTTTTCAATATCCCAAAATAAAAAACTGTATCTATTAAATAATAACTCCCCATTCTCCTCTCTCCTCAGCTCCTGCTAACCACCATTCTACTTTCTGTCTCTATGAATTTGACTATTCTAGGTGCTTCATGTAAGTGCAATCATAGCAGTATTTGTCCTTTTGTGTCTGGCTTATTTCATTAAGCAGAATGTCTTCATGATTCATCCAGGTTATGGCATGCATTAGAATTTCATTCCTTTTTATGGCTAATAGCCCATTGTATGTATGTACCACAATTTATCTTTCATCAGTGGATGGGAATTTGGGTTGTTTCCACCTTTTGAATATAGTGAATAATGCTGCTATGAACATTGGTGCACAAGTATCTGAGTCTCTGCTTTCAGTTCTTTTGTGTATATACTCAGCAGTGGAATTGCTGGGTCATATGGTAACTCTATATTTAATTTTTTTTAGGAACCACCATAATGTTTTCCACACAATTTTACTTGCCACCAGCAATGCACAAGGGTTCCAGAACTTTTTCATCATCCCCAAATAAAACTCTGATTTTTTAAAATGACTTTTGTTGACAGTTCTTCTTTTTCTGCTAGGTATCTCAGGTAGTTTGAACTTTGATGAGGAGACTGATGGGGAGGAAGAAGAGGGAAAAAAATTATCTCATTCACCACGTTCAGAGGCAGAGAGACCCAGTTCTGCATCCAGCCAGAAATCAACCACAGTATGTAGATCTGAAACTTCTTCCTTTGGAGCTAATTTCACTATTTCCCAAATATAGTGTACATTCAGTATTTAAATACCATTACTGAGTGAGGGTTGCTTCAAAAGATTTAAGCTCTAATTTAGATGTAACGTTCATGACCTCTAATTTCATATCTCAAGCCAGCTATTGTGACACTATATCCCATTTTCTTACTTAGCTCTTTCATCACTCCCAGTATTCAAATACATACTTAACTTCTCTGAGTTTTCTATTATTTTGTCAGAAGACTGAAGACATAGGGGTATAAACCAATAAGCTATTTTATCATTAAGTACTTCTCAAAGAGATTATGAGGTTTTTCTGACTCTACCTCCTTTGCTCATGTATGGCTATTCTTTCAGGATACAGGAGCTTCTGGTACTTCAGCCCAACAAACTGATAACCAACTGGGAGAAGTAAAAGATTTAGAGGACTTTGCTTATAGTTCTGCTCCTCGAGGTGTCACAGTAAAGTGTCGGATAACCAGGGATAAAAAAGGAATGGATCGGGGTCTCTTCCCCACTTACTATATGCACTTGGAAAAGGATGAAAATCGGAAGGTATGAGAATTGATTCTTTTTAAAAAATATATATTGTTATTTATTTCAGAGAGGAAGGGAGAGGGAGAAAGAGCTAGAAACATCAATGATGAGAGAGAATCATGGATCAGCTGCCCCCTCCATGCCCTCTACTGGGAATCAAGCCCGCAACCCAGGCATGTGCGCTGACCGGGAATTGAATCATGACCTCATAGTTTATAGGTCTACACTCAACTGCTGTGCCATACCGGCTGGGCTTGATTCTTTTTTTTTAAATTATTGCTTTAGAGAGAGAGAGAAACATCAATTTGTTATTCTACTTACTTCTGCATTCATTGGTTGATTCTTTTTGTTTTTTATTGATTTCAGAGAGAGGAAGGGAGAGAGAGATCGAAACATCAATGATGAGAGAGAATCATTGATCAGCTGCCTGATGCACGCCCCCTACTAGGGATTCAGCCTGAAACCTGTGCCCTGATCAGGAATCAAACCCATGACCCTTTGGTGCACAGGACAACGCTCTAACCATAGAGCAATACCGGCCAGGGCAAAAGAGCAAGTTTTAGGGAATAGAAGGAATTGGAAATATAGAAGAATATACAAGTGAAAAATATTGTTTCTCACCCTAGAAATTCTAACTTACTTTGTACCTATGTTTGAGACAGTTTATACTTGCTAATGAACAATGTATTTTGTATTAATAACAGGTCTAAGTGGATGATTTTAGGGTCCTAGAAATTAGATGGTGATAGTAAATATCATGGTTATTATTACCACTATTTATTGAATGTTTATGATGTATCAGGCATATCCTAAATGCTTCATATTTATTATCATCTACAATTCTTATGACAGCCTGGTAAGATAGGATGTATATCCCTGCTTTATGGACAAAGAAACTTGGGTTTAAGAGCCAGATTCAAATCCATATGTTTGATTCCAAAGTCTCCCGTTAACTACTCCAACTCTTCTGCTTCCCTGTTATTGTCTAAGTCCAGTAGGGTTTTAGCAAGGAAGCATAAATATGAGAGTATTCATCTGAAAAATTTTTTTAAATTTTTTTTATTTATTTCAGAGAGGAAGGGAGGAGAGGGAGATAGAAACATCAATGATGAGAGAGAATCATTGATCGGCTGCCTCCTGCATGCGCCACAGGAGGGCTCGAGCCCACAACTCAGGCTATATGCCCCTGCCGGGAATCAAACTATGACCTCCTGGTTCATAGGTTGATGCTCAACCATAGAGCCACACCAGCTGGGCTAAAGTCAAAAATTTTTTTAAAAATACAAAGAAAACCCCCAACAAAATACAAAAAGGAGTATTAGGACTGCTATGGCAGTAAAGAATGGGAAGGGTAGGTATTCAGGATCCTGTCTCCCATAAAGTTGGAAAGACTCTTATTCATGGAATTGGATGAAGCTTTTAAAAAAGTCACTAGAGGTTTTTAGGGATAAAGTTTTATTGAGAACCAAGCTAGTGAATTTAGGAAAGTTACATAGTGGGGAAACACTGATAGTGAATTTTGAGAAGCCTTATGAGGGAAAAGGGATCAAGACCCACAGATTGGTCTTCTCTGACAAAACGCCAAGTGGCGATGACACTGGTGCTGAGGTAGGGAGAGACCCGTGGGTTGTGGTGGGAGGCCCAGCTGACTTCTATCAATGGTGGGGATTGAGGCCACGGAGTTTGTGAGGCAAGGCCAAGGACAAGGGGTGATGCCCCTCACTAAGCTCAGTCGCTGGTTAAAGACACAGTTAAATCCCTGGAGAAGATCTCTCTCTTCTGCCTGCCCATCAAGAAATCTGAGATGGTTGATTTTTTTTCCTGGGGGCATTCTTTAAGGATGAGTTTTGAAGATTATGTCCATGTAAAAGCAGACTCGTGCTGGCCAGCAGACCAGGTTCAAGGCATTTGTCGCCATTGGGAATGACAACGGACATGTTGGTCAGGGTGTTACATGCCACAGGGAAATAGCTACTGCCATCCGTGGGGCCATCATGCTGACCAAGTTCTCCGTAATCCTTGTGTGGCCAGGCGACTGAGGGAACAAGATCGGCAGGCCCACACTGTCCCTTGTAGAGTGGCTGGCCAATGTTGCTCTGTGCTGGTGGCCTTGTCCCCACTGCCAGGGGCCTTGGCATTGTCTCAGCCTTGGGCCCAAGAAGCTGCTGCTGCTGGACGGCATCAAGGATGGCTGCACCTTGGGCAGGGGCTGCAAAGTGAGAAGGTAGAACCAACCATAGCAGTTCTCTCGACTTCATTTTTAACTGACCTTTTTTTTCTTTTTCCAGATATTTCTTCTTGCTGGTAGAAAACGGAAAAAGAGCAAAACATCCAACTACCTTATCTCCACCGATCCAACAGATTTATCTCGTGAAGGGGAAAGTTATATTGGCAAACTCAGGTGAAAGCATCCTTGTATCACTGTCCTATTCTTTCTGGTACTTTTATTCTTATTGTAAAAAAAATAATACAAATAGAGCCACTTTAAAAATGGAGTCAGAGCTGCCACCCCAGAGGAATTGACTTGCATGTCTTATGCCTGAAACCTTTGAAATGTTAAAACAGGGCAGAATAACCTTTGGACTGGGCCTAAAACGATATTGTGCCAAGATAACAAGAAAGCAGATAGTAAGACGACCAGACTGATGGCTACTTGACTAAAAATTAAAAACATTGTTTAGAATTAATGTCACTCTGCTAGCTTATCTGCACCAATAGCAGTGCCTCCCCCATAGTGATGTAATTGTTCCCTTCCCTTTCTCGTATATACCTCTTGCCTTTGTCTCCTAATGGCAGCACCATTTGGGCTTCTACCTGAATCGGTGCTTTCCGAATAGCTACTCTTTTTTTTTAAATCTCAAATAAATGCTTGTTGCCTCTCGCTTCCGCCTTTTATTTTTAGGTTAACACTGTTGTTTCAGAACAACCTATATTTTTTTTACAATGAACATGTATTAATGTTGTAATCTAAAGAAAAATAAGTTAAAAGAAAATCTAAGTCCTTTCGTTGTTTTAATGAGAGATCTTTGAAAAGTGATGAGGAACATTTAGATATTTGGAGAACAGGCAGATATTCTGTTAAACACCTCTCCTAGATTGTGTTTATGGAAGAGAAAAAATATAGATCATTATGATTATTTCTTTTGATTCTAGATCCAACCTCATGGGGACCAAGTTTACAGTTTATGACCATGGTGTCAGCCCAGCCAAGGCCCAAGAAAAGGCCCATGCCCGGCAGGAGCTGGCAGCCATCTGTTATGTAAGTGCTGTCCTCGGAATCACTTACCCTACACTGAACTCATAATCCTTCCTCCCAAGCTTGTTTCTATTTCTGTGATCCCCTTTTCTGTTACTGGAATCATTTTCTCTTTCCAAATTTTAATTATTTATGAATTGCCAAGTTCATTTATGCTTTTACTGTGTTAATATGTCTTGCCTTCTCTTTTCCTAATGCCATTGGATTACCACAGACCTTCATGACCTCTTAATCCATTGCCAGAGGCTACAATAAATTACAAATTAATCTCTTTGTTTTTAGTCTTTTCTATCTAGTTCATTCTGTACTGCTGCCAGATAAATCTTCCTAAAACAGAACTCCAGTTGATCCTGCTGTTCTCCTGCTTCAAATCTTGTATGACTTCCCAGGCTGTACAGAATAAAGGCCTAACACTTTGGCCTTTTCTTTCAGACTGTCCTAGTGGCACTCTCCCTCCTGTTGCCATCATTCTGGCCACAGAACTCTCCTGTTTTATCCACCATATGATCTTCCCTCTCCTGAGAGCTTTCCCTTTTCCCTTCCTTGCCTTTACCATATGAACTGATGTCATCAGAGAAGTCTTTTCTGACCACTGGATGTGGCTGGCATTCCTTTGTGTACATCTGCATGGCACCCAATGCTTCCTTTCAGAGTTGTTGCTTGATCCCAAAGTCTCAACATGCATGACTATGCATGACTCGTGTGTGTACATGTGCATATGTATATGAATACACACACAGACATATATCCACCTATTTAATGTGCTTATTTTATTTATATATAATCTGTCTGGCTTGACAGGCATTTGAGTTTTTACCTCCTAATACAGGCCCCATTTAATTTACACTGTAATTCTCACTGTAGATCAGATAGTGCTATACCCTCATTGGGACAAAAATATTTATTGATGACAAAATTGGACAGTTTGCTCACAGTTGTCTCAAAGTTCATTTAAGATTAAAGAGTAAATTTTCAAGCCAATATAATCTATTTTAAATTCAAATGTTCAAATTAGGTTTAAAAAAGAGAAATATAATTACTTTCCTGGTCTCGATTATCTGTCTCTCTTTGTTTAAACTACAGTAATAAGCAGCTTTAGTACTCTTGACATTGTCAGCATTTTACATGCCCAAATGAGTCTTGCGTGAAGAATGTGGTCTTGTTTTCTTTTCTGTTTCCAAGTTCTGTCTTATTTTTCTATCTTCCAGGAAACAAATGTGTTTGGATTTAAAGGTCCTAGGAAGATGTCTGTGATCATTCCAGGGATGAATATGAACCATGAACGGATCCCATTTCGGCCACGAAGTGTAAGAATATATTTAATCAGCAAATGACTCTAAAAGACAAGAATACAATATAGAAGAGATCAGTCCAAAAATTATTGATTCTTCCAGAACTGGAATATTGCTCATACTCTTATTTAGTTAATTTATTTCTATATTTTAATGGATTTCTTTTTAGAGAGAGAGGAAGGAAAAGGGAGATAAACATTGATGTCAGAGAGAAATATCGATTGGTACTCCCATAGGTACCCCAACTGGGGTCTGAACCCACAACCTGAGCATGTACCCTGACCAGGAATCGAACCGGTGACCTTTTGGTGTCAGGGATAATGCTCCAACTGAGCCACACCAGCCAGGGCCCTCATACTCTTCTTTAGGAGAGCCATCACTCCAGAACCTCAGGAGAAGTACATTGCAGAGCAATTGTTAGAGTGCTTGATTTGCAGCCACTTACTCTTCCTGGAATGGAGGAAATATTCCCCTGCCCACTTTCTCCATCAGAGTTGCAAGTGAATGGTTTCTTATGGTTCTCAGTACAGAGTAATATTTTTCCTTTCAAATAGGACCATGAGAGCTTGCTTTCAAAATGGCAAAACAAAACCATGGAGAACTTGATTGAGCTGCACAACAAGGCCCCAGTGTGGAATGATGACACGCAGTCCTATGTCCTGAACTTCCATGGCCGGGTCACTCAGGCATCTGTGAAGAACTTTCAGATAGTCCATGAAAATGACCGTAAGCCACAGGAAGGACTGGTTGGGAATGGGAGGGAGGCTATCCTTACACGGTGGGGAAATGAACATTTCCTGTCACTGATAGGAACCTATATTCAGGAGAGAATTATCTAAGAAAGAAATGATTTCTTTGGAAAGACAAAACAACAGTGTTACAGTAAAACTTTTGAACTACTGTGTTGAGGAGGGCTGAAGAGTGTGAGAGATTTCTTCCTGTGGCCAACGAGAGAAGTCTTAGAGGAGGCTGTTCGGGAAGCAAATGCAAATGATCCTCACCCAGTAAAGGTTCCTTGGCAACTCTAGCTCATGGAACTTGTACTGTCCCCAGCAAGCTACTCTCGACTTTTCTCTCCTCTTTCCCTTTCATGCTGGTCAGGAGTAGCTTCCCATTCCCTGTAGTTGAGGGGAATCATAATAGAAACTTTGCTCATGGTTAGCAGATATTCTTTTTAATAAATCTTTCCATTCTTCTCAAAGTTGCCCATTTTATTTTTTTTAAATATCCTATCTAATAATAGACAAACAGGGTAATTGACCATACCTTCGCTACGCCTCCCATTGGCTAATCAGCACGATATGCAAATTAACCACCAACAAAGATGGTTAATTTGCATACGGTGCGAAGCGGCAGAGCGAAGACTGAAGGCGGCTCAGGCCGGAGCAGCCAGGGCTTTCAAGGCGGCTCCGGCTGGAGTGAAGGCCTGGGTCCCGGGTGCTGGAGGAAAACCGGTGCCGGCAGCCAGGGGAAGGGAAGGCCTATTGCACAAATCTTTTCGTGCAACAGGCCTCTAGTATATTTATATTTATTGATTTCAGAGAGGAAGGGAGAAGAAGGGAGAGAGAGAAACATCAATGATGAGAGAGAATCACTGATTGGCTGCCTCATGCATGCCCCCTCCTGGGACCAAGCCCGCAACCCAGGCATGTGCCCTTGACCAGAATCGAACCTGGGACCCTTCAGTCTACAGGCCGATGCTCTACCCACTGAGCCAAACTTGGTAGGGCTAAAAGTTGCCCATTTTAAAGAGACCCGCTGATTAACTGACCTATTTGGAGGATTTGTTTTTATATCTTAAAGGCTTTCCCCAGTACAACCACATTATCTTCTAACATCATATTTTCTCTGTTTCTAGCTGACTATATTGTCATGCAGTTTGGACGTGTGGCAGATGATGTTTTCACTCTGGACTACAACTACCCGCTGTGTGCACTCCAGGCCTTCGCCATTGGGCTTTCTAGCTTTGACAGTAAGCTGGCATGTGAATGAGACAGAAACACCTACACAGCTGGACTTCCTCACTGCAGAGCTTTCGGGAGCAGATAGTTGCCTCCCTGGCTCTCAGCCCAGGTCATAAAAAGAGACAGTCTGTCCCTCTTGGAATAATCCCCGAATGTATGTATGTATATGTGTCTATACATATATGTGTGTGCATATACTAGCATACATATGTACACACACACACTTCTCTGCCTTTCACAGATCTGGTCAAGGGGTGCAGTTTACCAGTAACATAGGTGAGGCATTATTCAAAGTACAGGAAGGTTCTTGTCCAGAACACATTGACTCCTGAGGTTATTGCCTCTAACAGATTCTATGCCTCAAAGTTGGATTTCCTGTGCTTGGAAACTTGCAACTAGAATCAGGTTCTAATAATTAGATGCTTGGGTCTCTCTTTTGAAGACCTTTTCAGAGAAGGGACAGTTCCCTAAATTCACTTTAGTCTCTAGGTCTGCAAATGTTTTCTGTAAACGGCCAGATCATCTCTCTTATAATTAATTACTCAGTGCTGTCGTTGCAAAAGCGCCCTAGTCTGTTCCTACATGAGCGAGTGTGGCCGTGTTCCAGTGAAACAGGCAGTAGCCAGGTTTGGCCTGTGGGCTATAGTTTTCCAACCTCTGCTTCAGGTATATCTCTGTACTCGCTGGACTTGGGCATTTCCAAAATGGCTTGTAATCCTGAGATTATATAAGTGGGAAATGGGTATCTCTAGGAAGCAATAGCAGATTGGATCCAGAGTCACTCGGCTGCATTCACTGTTACAAAGCATTACCTTGTTTTGGTGACAATGGTTCCTAGGATATCATTTACCATCAGAACTGGGAAACCCAAAGTCCGTGATAATTCTGTCCACACAGGTGGCTTAATTCTGCTATCCTACCTAACCCACCCACGGGACAAGGCAATGCCAGCCACTTTACCTACCCTGAGAAGAACTAATGCACAGTAGGAAATTAGACTAGAATTGTCTTCATCACAGGGAGTGTGGTATTTGTCTCTTACGAGTTAACCTTATAGTCCCATGATGCTTGGAGGTACTGATGTTGCAGTCCCCCTCTTCCCTTTCTTCCCTCACAGCAGATTGGCTGGCACCAATCTCAGTCAGAGTGGCTATGGCCAAACTGGTGATCAGTGATGTGAGGATTTTATATAGTTGTCTTAATTTTAGTTTACACTGAAAACAAAAACCTAAGAGGTGATTTAGTCCAAGATTGAGAGGAATTTGACAGTTGCCTTCACTTTCAACCCAGGAGTGCCTCCCACAGCTATATTACTATGGAGACATTGGTATATAGAAGGACACACATACCTTTCCAGTGGTTCTCAACCTTCTGGCCCTTTAAATACAGTTCCTCATGTTGTGACCCCACCATAAAATTATTTTTGTTGCTACTTCATAACTGTAATGTTGCTACTGTTATGAATCGTAATGTAAATATCTGATATGCAGGATGGTCTTAGGCGACCCCTGTGAAAGGGTCGTTCGACCGCCAAAGGGGTCACGGACCACAGGTTGAGAACTGCTGCTTTAGACCATGTAAGAAGAGATCATTATGTATCAAAACTTCCATTGTCATTATCAAGGGAGGTGGCAGGTGAGGGTTGGTGAGGACTAGCCAGCTGACTGTGAGCCCTGTGGACCTTGTTGGGCAGAACTTTGGGCCTTTCTTCTTGACATAAATACCAGCTCCCTAAAGCCTGTTCACTGGTACAATCGAGCTCTTGTCACTCTTCCTCACAGATCATGAGTTTTGCTAAGTTGTTGAGGTTATTAGCACCTCCCAACAAAACATGGCTCTGCTACCAGCTCACCGGTCTCAGAGTGTATCTGAATCTTGAGAATCCAGTAACTCTGTGAGTTCTGCATTCAGTATTGCTCAGCTCCCAAGCCTTTGTGCACTTAGCTGTTTGCCAGCACGGGGCAGGGAATCAGTGGCTGAGGCGCCATTCCGGTTCCCTTCTGTGGGCTTGCTTTTTGCCTTTGCTTCCTGTGGCCCCGTGCTCCACATCAAACAGCAGCGTGGAAGCAGGAGGTCTGGGAGATGAAAAGGCCCTTGCCCCCCCGCTGGAAAGTCTGTGCTGTGTTTTGACAAGATTGGTTTCTATCTCAGGCATGCCTGCTTCCCATCAAGTGCCTCCTTCATAGAAGTGCCCAAAGCCCTTCAGACCTCTGGCACCACCTTCCTCAAGTACTGTCAAATGAGCTGCCCTCCTTGAAAACAAAGCTGTTCAGTTATCCCTGGATGCAGTAATTGACAACATCTGGAGAAGGGAGTCTCATGGCCTGACCAGATCTAACCCTGCTGCTTCCTGCTCACTCTGGCTAAGAGATTTTTACCCCAGCTTCATGTACTTGCTGCTTGAATGTGTAGGTGATTGGTTTTACATAAGTCATATTTATACCTTTTGTATGCTATAGAAATAAAAAATAATTTATATAAAAATGAGGTGTCACCCTTCTTCTTTTCAAAGTCCCATCCATTACATAGTTCCTTCTGTCATGTTCTGTAATAATACATTTCATCACTTGGCAATAATGGACTAATCTTCAAGGAAGCATCACTATAAGCTCTCATAGAATCGGGCCAGTCTTATATACTTTAAAAAATATGTATGTTTTTAGAGATTTTAAAGAGAGAGGAAGGGCCCCGCCAGCATGGCTCAGTGGATGAGCATCAACCTATGAAGCAGGAGGTCATGGTTCAATTCCCAGTGAGGGCACATGCCTCAGTTGTGGGCTTAATCCCCAGTGTGGGGCGTGCAGGAGGCAGCTGATCAATAACTCATAATTGATGTTTCTATCTCCCTCTCCCTCTCTGAAATCAATAAAAATATATTTTAAAGGGGGGGAGGGGAAAGGGAGAGAGAGAGATAGAAACATCAATGAGAGAGAAACATCCACTGGCTGCCTCCTGCACGCTCCCCACTGAGGATTGAGCCTGCAACTCAGGCATGTGCCCTGACTGGTAATCGAACTGAGGACCTCTTGGATCATGGATCGATGCTCAACCACTGAACCACACCAGCTGGGCCAGTTTTATATACTTTTCAGTGACCAGGAATAATATCAATGATTATTGACATGAATGCTATCAGCAAATGTTATTTAAAAATCTAAAACAGGCCTGCAGAAGGTTCTTTTTGATCAGAAGTTTAGTGAATCATAAAAGCAGCTAGTATTTCCCGTCTGGTGTGGATAAGAGGTTAGCAGTGACTTAGAACAGGAGTTCATGGTTCGATTTCTGGTTAGGGCACATGCCTGGGTTGTGGGCTTGATCCCCAGTGTGGTGTGTGCAGGAGGCAGCCAACAGATGATTCTTCATCACTGATGTTTCTATCTCTTCCTCTCTGAAATCAATGAGAAAAAAAAAAGAAACGCATCAATTCGCTTCCTTTAGATCAGTGGTCGCCAACCTTTCGGGCCTCACGGACCACCGGTTGGCGACCACTGCTTTAGATAGCATTACAGGTGCAGAAATGAAGTGATAGGTCAACTGAGGCAAAATCCCTGGGTTCTTGCCCTTTTTCTGCCAGTGATTTGTTATATGCCTGTTTCATCATCTGTTAATTGAGAGAGTTTGAATTACATGATCTTCAGTTTTTGAATGCCATGGTTCTCTCCACTCATCCTGGCAATGGTCTGCAATTTCCATAAATGTGTTTTGACTTGATCTCTGGTTACCTTCTGGACAGCTACAAGTGTTCATGGCTGAAGATACTGCTCGGGGCAGAATGTACAGACCTTAGGAAAAGACCACGGGTGCTTGAGCTAAGGAACCAGAGGGGAGATCCTGGAATGGTGGGCGTGCACAGCGTGGGAGAAGTATAATCTGACGCTGAGGAAGGGCAGGACCTTAAAGCTGCTTTTCCCCAATCACTGGAGACACCTTGCTCCATGGAGGAAATCCTGGGATGCTGCAAGCTGCCCTTCTCCTCAGCGTCAGCTCCCCTCTGGATAGAATGGCTCCTACCTGTGTACTCATGTCATATGTCTGATGTCTACTTCTTTCCAGTCTATAGTCTTCTTTTAAATTTCCTCATGTGGACCCCAGCTAAGGGCTTACCAAAGACTGACCAGATTCCGTCCACCCCTCATAACACGTTTCTTGACCAATTGCATGTTGGATTGTTTTGTCTCCTCTCCCTACTTGGGTTTCCTCATTATCATAGTCATTGTATATTCTCTAAAAGTTTTAGTCTTCTGTTGGGGTCCAGCCCCATCAGGTCCAGGGGTTCCCAAAGGTGTGGACGGAGTCGGCGAAGAAGGAATGACACAGAGGCAGTGTTCAGGTGATCATCATAGCTAGGTTCTCTTGCCTGGTTCTAGCCAGGATCTCCAGCCAGGTTCTATATTTTATTGTCTTGTTACATCTGTATTTATACCAGTTGATTTTAATCCTGTCAATTTCTATTCCAAAGGTTAGGGCGTTTCTTATCTCCATTCCAGGGAGTAAAGATTATGTAGCTTAAGGGTGATTGTTTGTAGTTAAAGTGATTAACTACCCGCCTGGCATTTAGTTCAGGGGTTTTATTCCCTCCCTAACTTCAGGGAAAAATCCCTACCTGGGGAAACAACCTTTCTCGGAGAGGTGACCTTGGTTAAAACACATAGCGCCAAGAAGGGGAGCAAACATATTAAGAACAGTATGCCATATACGCCAGGTCCCTTCAAACATATGCTGTGCAGATGTTTCTTCCCTGCAGCAACTGTGTCAAGCAGCAAGGATGGACCGGCTTCCGGCAGTCTTCTTTATAGACCAACACATAATTCCTCTCCACAAAAAAGGATTCACAGTAAATGCAGGATTTGCCATTGATGCTGTCAGAACTTTAGGCAAGCCCTAATTATGCCACAGATGGTTTCTTGGCGCCACCTACTGACCAAGGATGCACATTACAAATGTATTAAAATGAATAGCACAGATTCTGCCACCCAACGAGGGAGTCAGCAAGGAAGAGTTCAGGGTGACTTCAACGACTGGACCTTATAATGTTCCCACTAGAGTTGTGCTATGGCATGACTCTTTTCTGAAGGATTGAGACATTAATATTTCTGAAGTATAGAAACCAGTTGAGGTGGTCCAGGTAAAATGCCTGGGATCTGGTACATAGTAAGCATTTGGTATAGGATGGTGGCAAATATTATCATGTTTATTCATGTTCTTTAAAACAGTGCATCACAGTTGATTTTTTTAGCCATCCAGTTACATAAAATAGTTTGTCAATGCTCATAAAACAATTTTAGATGGTTTTCCAGGGACTATTGTGAGAAGAATGGAAAACATATTTTTTTCCTAGGTAATTAAATATCCATGTTCTAGTCTCAGTCCTGATCCTACCCTACATTCCTTACTTTATAACCATCTCTCTGTTTCTACTTGAAGGAACAGCCCAGGCCAAAATAGCCCTGATGTTAATCGAAGTTTTAAAAATATGAAATGGGTGTGTCTGACTTGTTCTGACTCTGCCTAGTCTTTTGGTCCATCAGGCCCAAGCTCCTTTGCATGTTGCCTTTGGGCCTGGCCTCAGTGTTTTAACATGTAGTTCAGCACTATCTACTCAGGTTCTGTTTCTTATGATTTTCAAGGACTCCGACTGTAATAATTCAGTATTCTCTCTCCTCTGTAGTCTTGGCGCAGGAAAGTTAGGAAGGAAGAATGGTCTGAGAGTAAAGGAGGGTGACAGGCAGGCGAGAGCTAGGAATTAGATCAAGATTTTTTAAAAAATATATTTTATTGATTTTTTACAGAGAGGAAGGGAGAGAGAGAGTTAGAAACATCGATGAGAGAGAAACATCGATCAGCTGCCTCCTGCACATCTCCTATTGGGGATGTGCCCGCAACCCAGGTACATGCCCTTGACCGGAATCGAACCTGGGACCTTTCAGTCCGCAGGCTGACACTCTATCCACTGAGCCAAACCGGTTTTGGCAGATCAAGATTTTTTTAAAGTGGAGTCTAAATGCAATTTCTAGGGTACTAAGGCATGCTCAGGACAAATTAACCAATGTAAGATAAAAATATTACTTTAAAAAAAGTCATGATTTTGCTTTCGGTCAGTCTTATGTAGCAGATATAAAGATATAAATTTTAAATAGTAATAAATTCAAAAAAAAAGTTTAAAGACTAGCCCTGGCTGGTGTGGCTCAGTTGGTTAGAGCATCATCCCATCCACTGAGGGTCGTAGGTTTGATTCCTGGTTCAAATCCTGGTCAGGACACATACCCAGATTGTGGGTTCCATCCCCGATTGGGGTTCATTTGGGAGGCAACTAATCGATACTTCTCTCACATATCAATGTTTCTCTCTCCCTCTACCTCTGCTTTCCTCTCTCTCTAGAGTCAATGAAAAGCATATCCTCCGGTCCGGATTTAAAAAAAAAAATTACTTGCCTGGCCGATGTGGCTCAATTTGTGGAGCATCATCTCCTGCACTGGGAGGTTGCCAGATTGAATTCCAATCAGGGCACACACCCAGATTCCTGGCTCCATTCCCAGTAGGGGGCGTGCAAGAGGCAGCCGATTGATGATGTTTCTCCTCGATGTTTCTATCTCTCCCTCTCTCAAAATCAATAAAAACATATTTTTTAAAAAACAACAAAGCAGTGCCCTAGAGGTTTGGCTCAGTGGATAGAGCGTCGGCCTGCAGACTCAAGGGTCCCAGGTTTGATTCCGGTCAAGGGCACATGCCCATGTTGTGGGCTCAATCCCAGTGGGGGGAGGGGGGGGGCGTGCAGGAGGTGGCCAATGATTTTCTCTCATCATTGATGTTTCTATCTCTATCCCTCTCCCTTTCTCTCTGAAATCAATAAAAATATATTTAAAACAACAACAAAGCAAACAAAGTTTAAAGACTATATAATTAAAGCCTTGTTCCCTATCTGTCCCTTCTTGTTTTCCTTGCCCTGTCCTACTCTTATAGTTAACCACTTTTAGTTTCTTTCTAGTGTATCTTTCCAGTTTCTTTATGCAAAAATAAAAATGTATTTGTAATTTCCCACCCTTTGTGCACAAAAGGTAGCATATTATATACTCTGTTCAGTAGCTTGCTTTTTCAGTTGATATATCCTGGAGATAATTCCCATGTCAATAAATGCAGCCCTTCCTCATACTTGCTTATCCTCCACAGTATTTCATTGTGGTAAGTTCCATAGTGGTTCTTTTGTTTTTATTTATTGATTTTAGAGAGGAAAGGAGAAACATCAATTTCGTTCTACTTATTTATGTATTCATTAGTTGATTCTTTTTTTTAGTTGATTCTTTAAAAAAATAATATTGCTACTTTAATATAGTATTGCTACTTAAAAAAAAAATCCTCACCAAGGATATGTTTCTATTGATTCTAGACAGAGAGGAAGGAAAAAGAAAGAAACATTGATGTGAGAAATATCAATTGGTTGCCTCCCGAACGAACCCTGACCAGGGATCAAACCCGCAACCTGAGTATGTGCCCTGACCAGGAATTGAACTGGCAGCCTTTCGGTGATGATGCTCCAACTGAGCCACAAAGGCCAGGGCTCATTGGTTGATTCTTACATGTGCCTCGACCTGAGATCAAACCTGTAACCTTGTCATATCAGGACGATACTCTAACCAACTGAGCTACGTGGCTAGGGTGCACCATAGTGTTTTGTTGTTTTAAATATATTTTTATTGATTTCAGAGAGGAAGGGAGAGAGAGAGAGAGATAGAAACATCAATGATGAGAGAGAATCATTGATTGGCTGCCTCCTGCACGCCCCCCATTGGGGATCAAGCCCAAAACCTGGGCATATGCCCTGACCGAGAATCGAACTGGTGACCTCTTGGTTCCTAGGTCGATGCTCTACCGCTGAGCTACACCTGGCTGGGCACACCATAGTGTTTTTAACTAGTCCCCTATGCACGGATAATTTGCACATTAAGAAATTTTACCAACATGTTTTGAGTATATACAGTATTCCAGGGACCCATGTTTTTATTTTAATCTTTCTCACTCTTCATACTGAATAACTACCATTTTACATTTGACATCTCCCAGTCTGAAATTCTTTCTTTAGCTCTGCAAGTGTTATCTAACTACCTGCTCAACATCTCCACAGTTGGTTTATTAAAAAAAAAAAAGTTAATAGCTGTAAAGAATTATTTCATCACATAGATATGGTTGAATTTTTTTTAAATATATATTTTATTGATTGTTTACAGAGAGGAAGGGAGAGGGACAGAGAGTCAGAAACATCGATGAGAGAGAAACTCGATCAGCTGCCTCCTGTACACCCCCCACTGGGGATGTGCCCGCAACCAAGGTACATGCCCCCAACCAGAATCGAACCTGGGACCCCTCAGTCCGCAGGCCGACGCTCCATCCACTGAGCCAAACCGGTCAGGGTGATATGGTTGAATTTTTAAAAATGTTTTTAGTGATATTTTGAGAGAGAGCGAGAAAGAAACATTGACTGGCTGCCTCCTGCACAAGCCCACAACCTGGGCATGTGCAGGGAATCAAATTTGCAACGTCTTGGTTCATGGAATGATGCTCAACCAAGTCATACCAGCCAGGGTATAGATGTGACTGAATTTGATTAACACAGTATCATATGGATATTTTGTGTAATTATGACCATAGAGGTTGGAAAAACAAAATTTATTAAAGAAATGCAAATTATATCAAACAACATAAGAATAATTAGTATGATTTTTGTCTTTCATTTTGGAGTAGAGACAACACAGATACCCTCCCTACATCAAGAGGGGCTCTGACCACACCCACCTTTCTGCACCACTCCTCAGCAAGCCTGAGTGAGGACTAGGTGGTCTGGATCACTAGGAAGTGAGGGGGGTTGTGGACTATATGTTGTCATTTGAGGGCAGCCATATGCATTTCTATTAGCTGGATCCAGAGAGATGAAATATTTCCACCAACAGATTCATTCCTGAGGGTCAAGGAATGAAAGTCCTGTCTATTAAATGTAAATACCCCTAGTAAGGGCAGGACATAAAAATCAGTATAAAATCAGTCAGTCTTTCACCCTTCACAATTTCTACATCTAAGAACTTTCCTTTAGCCAGAGGGACCTCAACAACTTGGGAACATGCCATTTCTGAAAGCACAGAGCTCTCTGGAAGCCTGTAAGGGCATGGACCAGGAGGCTGAAGTCTGAGGTCACACCATTGCAGCTAGGACCAGTTATAGTCTTAATAGTTAAAATTTGGGAATAATTCAGTCTGATCTCCAAATTTCCTCAGTAGTCTGTGCTGAAGTGACACTCAAAGGTTGTTCTGTCTCCACCCTAGGCTCTGTCCTGCCTTCCCCTCAATCCTCTGAACCTGGCTGGACCCACCTACTACCTCACCCTGTTTCTCCTTATTTGAATTGTCTCAGTTAATGGTACCACCAATAGTTCAGTTGTCAAAATTTAGTGATTTTTGTTTCTTCTCTCACCCTCACAGCCCACTTAGTCACCTGTTCTTGTTTATTTCAACTCTGGACTATTTCCTACACCTTTTCCCCTATCAGCCTCAGGACCACTGCCTGAGTTTAAGGCACCCGATTCTCCAATCCAGCCCTGACACTGTTGCCGGAGGGGTCTTCCTGATGTTGGTACTGGTTATGTCACACCTGTGTGTAACGGGCCTTTTGATACCCACTCTTCAGCATGGAATCCAATGATCTTCACAACATGGCACCCACTTACTGTCACCTACTCTCCGCAGCTCCTATTCTCTAGCCACACCAGTTTACAAGACTTCTCCTAACCACCCCTCTGTACCATACCTTTGTGGTTATTTTAGTCTTTTTTTTTAAATTTATTTTTAAATTTTTATTCATTTCTGAGAGAAGAAGGGAGAGGGATAGAAACACCAATGGTGAGAGGGAATCATTGATCAGCTGCCTCCTGCATGCTCCCCACTGGGGATCCAACTGGAAACCTGGGTATGTGCCCTGACTGGGAATGGAACCATGACCTCCCAGTTCATAGTTCAACAATGAACCACTGCGCCGCACAGGCCAGGCAGTATTTCAGTCTTAATTTGGTAAATTCTCATTTATCCTTCAGGAGCTAGATCGATGTCCACTCTGTAACTTGAATTTCAGTGTTCCTTACTTTGGTTTTCCATTGAACTTTATAATTCTCATCTTCCCACCTACACTGTGAACTTCTTGAGGACAGGGCAGGGACCTACCCCTGCACTTAGCATGGTGCTCAGTCAACAGACACTCAACAGATGATTATTATATTAAAGGGCTAATGCCTATACACTGTCCTGTATTGCAATCTTTTCATGTGTATGAGGTGTGGCCAGGTCCTCCTGTGACTCATTATTTAACAAGCATACCAGAATTTATATATGCTAATGAGAGCTGCTGCCTTCACTCTTCCTCCAGTGATGCTGTCATTGTTCAAAACATCTTTGGAATACCTCTTGTAGAAACAACTTTGGCATTTATAGCACTTTCTTTTCAATATCCTCTGTGATGGCATTTTTCATTTTTTTCAATATTTTTCATGTACTTATCTATCCCAGACACCAAGTTGGTGCTGGGTGAGAGATAAATCAGACATTTACTCAGCCTTCAAGGAAGTTTCTGTTTGATGAGGGAGATAAGATCTGGACAACCATCGAAATTCAAAGCTAAGTGACAAGAGCCCAAAAAGGTTGGATTTGATTTTCGAAAAAGTCAAAAGTCCTTTGGTTTCACCCTCCCAACAAGGTGGACGACAGAGGTATGTGATAACACATTACTAAGTTTAAATCAGTGTTCGGAAGACTTCCAAACAGGAGCTCAATGAGGTTGTAGCATCTCTCAAGATACTAAATTTTGCCGGTGCGTTTGTTTCACACCCAGACTCCCACGTTATGGCAGTGTTCTTCCCAGCTAAATGACAAGTTCTTCCTTCGAGGGTAGGTGCTGAGGTCTTACCCTTCACTGTTTTCACAGCACCTGGTGGACACATAATACCTGTTGAATAAATAGTCACGGAGTTACTCCTTCTCCAAAGAGTGCGCACTCTTTGCAGGGACATCTTTGCAGATCGGCGAGGGACAGAAGAGAGAGACTGAAGGACTCATGCCCGGAGGGCACGCGGGGGCACTGGCCGCGGGCTGGGACTAGAGCCCGGAGTTCCTGCTTCCTGGTTCCCCGGAGTGAATGTCCCCGGTGGGAGCCGCGGGGAAGGAGCAGCCCTTCCTGCGCGCCCACAGCCCGCCCTGCCCGGGCCTTTCCGGGACTTGTGCGGAGGGATGTCGTCCGTAGCCGTGGAGGGTGGCCGGCTGCGAAGCCCGCGGCTAGTCGCATAGACATGTCCGCTCCGGCTAAGGGGAAGGTTTTCAGCTCCCGTGACGGAGAGTCGGCCACTCCGCCCGGAGGGGCAGGAACCGGGGCTCGGGGAGGAGGGGAGTCGGGCCGAGGGATCAAAGGGAACGCTTGTGGGCGGGGAGCAGCGGGGGGCCGGGATCCCAGAAACTGAGGTCAAAGTTTGGGGGGTCGGCGTCCCCGGGGCCGCCAGTTCCGCGGCCCTCCGCCCCGGTTCCCGGCCCCGGCGGGGCCCGCGTCCCAAGACTTCCACCCCCAGGGGCCCGGCCTGGCACGCCCCTTCAAGCTCCTTCTT